CTGCCTTAAGATTTCGTTGCAACATAATAATTAAAAATTGAAATTATTTTCAACGCGAAAGGAATCTTTAGAAGTAAAAATAGTTTGAATTGAAGCGAAAAATAAATTATAAAATAATAAACATAATCTATCATCTATCATTCAAATTTGAAGGTCGATTTTTCTCTCGTTTTTCATACCACCGTCTATTTGATGTCGATACGAAATTCGACAATAATACATATGAATCACTCTCCATCCGATATCGAAATAGGTATCGAATGACAGCTAGCGAGCCATAGCGACTTGTGACAAGATAAGAATCCCCTAGCTGATACTCCAATATGAGTTGGCGTGACTCCCTACGATTGTACGTCAATGGTCACCTGATCTCACACCTGTTTTTACCTTATCCTTCCTTCTTTTGCTCCCCATACGGAAAGTGTCGACTTAAAAAAGCTTAACAATATAGTATTCGATGGCCTATCCTAATGTTGTGCACAATGCTCTCGTTGAATTTTGTTTAAATTATTATAGCCTAACCTAGTCTAGAGGCCATAAATAAAAAGCAGAAAAATATAATAATAAAAGTTTTATTTAATAGAAAATTTACTAGTACAACTTCATAATTTAGGTTCTACGTTCGGGTTTTGCAAAATAATGGGATGGTATCCTTTTTTGTTCAACAAATTGTGAAAACTCGCAAGGCAAACAAAGTCGATTGGGTATATCAGTTTCACCCTTACATCTGGGGCATGTATACTTAATGGGGATTGGCATTGTAAACAGTATCAAGTCTATCAACGTAATGCTTCATTTCAATGAGAAAGTCTCCTGGTATACAAGTTTGAAGTTTGATAATTATTACTAATGCGGCATGTTTCGAATAGACTCCTGTGATAACACTTGGTACTTTGGGAGACTTGGGTAGCATTCGAATACTAGCTATTTTGAATCCTATTCGAATCCTGTATTGGAATCCTACGGAAAGAGACCCGACGTCGGTTGAATCAGAAGAAAGTATAGTGCAACTTTGTGCTCATTATTATGCTGCTTTGATATTTCAAAAATTCCGAGTGCTGTCCAGAGATATCAGGAGAACCTCGAAATTCGCCAGAAATGATTTTATTTTTCCAATACCGCTTGTCAATAATAGGCAATCCTCCTTACGCTTATAATCCTTGGTTTGTGTCAATATCGGCGCTTGTTAATAATGGGCACTCCTCTCGACGCTTATAATCCTTGGTTTGTGTCAATCAATAGCTGTCTTTCTCTGTTCCTTTACGTTACATCTTTCTTCTCTCTCGAGTAACGAAATTTGCCCGTGACGCGTTTTTCAAATCACTCTCCATTGTCGTCCAAATAGCAGAAAGCCGTTTAAGAAGTTTCTTTTCAAAAATTATTGAAATGGAAATAATCTTGATACAATTTTGGAACATAAATAAAAGTTGTATGATATTATGTTAAGTGTGTGCTGGCGCTATTTGACTGTGGGTTGATGGTATACAGAGATCAATGGTGGCTTCATCTCTGTCATTCTCAGGAGAATAAAACATAGTTTATACTAAGGCTTATTTTTATTCTCAACAATCATTGCCAATATGGTTAATAGGACTGTGAGTGCGACTACCATCTAAATTGTAGCAATATTCATAATCATAAAAATGAAATACGTCTTTATCGTCACCCTTGAATATTTTTTTTTTTCAATAGGTATTGAGTATTTAAATAGAAACAGATCCCAAATTTCCGCATACTTTTTTCCTCAACCCATGTTATTTGTGGATGACATGATTTAAAAATTCCACCACATTGATTGCAGATCTTGGCAGATGTTCGGCAACTCCCATGACGTTACAGGTTATCCTGGTACTGGCAGATATGAATAGGCTTTTAGAGGGTTATGATCCTATTGATACTTATATTTAGAGCTTAAAGTTGTTGGAGCGTCCAGCCTGTAAGAGACATTGTTTAGTATATAACACTGCAATTGAAATGATACACACCGCTTTCTTTTTCCTGGAATTCTGTGAACTTTTTGTTCAGGATGCCTGAAAACCCAAATGACCAATTTTTTTTTTTTTCTGAGCAGGGGGTGGTAGTGGCAA